TGGAATAAAACACGTACCAAAGATAAAAATAGGGATTAATATAGAGTAAATTAACACTTTATTGAATAATTGTAAATTGGCTTTAAATACATGAAAACTTGAGAAAAATAACTTTAGACTGAAATTGACCTGAGGCGAACCGTACAATGTGCATACCGCAGGACCGAATTTGTACGACTACACCCAAAATGCCGGTAGGTACTGCAAGTACCTGGCTTTTCCCTTTCCCTGAAATTTTGCTTTAACTTATTTCCTAAATCTGAAAATACAAAATTATCGTTGTAATTTCAACACATAATAATTATTTAACTGTGAAGTAAAATTTTATTAATTTTTTTTTGTTTTCTCTTTAGATATTTTTTTATCATAATATTATTAAAAGCATATATTTAATGTAAAAAGTTTCATATAAATATATGTAATATACCACAAAAGTTTTTAATAAAATTAAGTATTTGAATACAAATAACGAATTTTAAATAAAGCTTGAGACCTAAATAAATAAATAAAGCTTGATGGCTCCATCACTCGGATATTCGTGCGAACACCATTGGGACATTTGTAAATATTTTTGGCGACGACTGGTACATTGAGACATTTTATTATTGTCATTTGTAACGTATTTTTTTAAATTTTTTATTTTTTTTAACTAAGTGATTCCAAAATATCTATAGAAAACATTAACTCTTTATTTTTCATACTTGATAAGTCTTTTAAATAAATTCTCAAAGTATGAATTTTCCTTAAAATGGCCGTTTAGATTTTAAAAAACTTTGCTGAAAATCGAAAAATGATATGATTTCAATCAAAATTGGTATATCCATGTTTTTTGGGCTTCTGAATTCAAATTTTACATTCGTTGTGTCAAATTCAAAATGGCGGATCCAAAATAGCCGTTTAGATTTTAAAAAACTTTGCTAAAAATTAAAAAGTGGTACGATTTTAACCAAACTTAGTATACTTACGTTTACTGGGTTTCTGAAATTAAATTTTACATTTGTTTTATCAAATTCAATATGGCGGATCCAAAATGTTTGCTGGTATTATAAAATTGCGTATATGTGTTAGAGCTTATTTTTTTTAAATTACAGACAGTGCTTAAATTTTAGTTTAAAGCGAATGCGAATGAAGAAAAAGTCAGTCTTTCACGTTCAGTTGCACCGCCGGCCGGTGCAACGCGCTTTCGGTAAACCGCGCTGGGTGAAATAAAAAGTGATACTAAAACTGCAGGGGCAGCTTGGGGCAGCTGATTTCAATTAAAATGAATTAAAAATATATTCTAGTTTATGATAATACCAGGTAGAGCGCGGATATCGGTGGATTTCACAACTATTTTCATGATATACGTTGATAAAACAATACAAAAATCGTAGCCATGAATAGCGATGTTTAATGTCATTTTTTAAAAACTGTACGTTTTAAATGTGATGATAAATACATTCAACATATTTCATACACCTTTGTTAATAATTGCCAAAAAAAGATATTCAAAAATCTGCTGTATATTAGTATATTTTCACTATTTTAACTGTGACGAAAATTTATAGTTATGAAACGTTCTGAGTAAATCTCTGGCAAAGATCACTTTTACTTGTTCACATAATAAATTGGTGATAAAAAAAGTGTAATTTTTTTTCGCAAAATTATGCAGTGAACCCTCCTTTATAATATTCAACAATAAAAAGTATAAATTTCTAAAAAATTTTTTTTGACTTTTGGCCAGGTTTTTCGGGAAATTGGCCACTGTGCCATGTGATGAATTTTAAGAGACTTTTGCTCAATAATTTGACAGGCTATTTTGATTTTTTAAAAAATATGATCTCGGAATCATAAGCTTCGAGCCTGAATATCCTTAAGTAACGTTTTTTAATTGAATTGGATTATTTTCAATTACATTCAGTCGTATTGCATCCGCCATTTTGATTGTTATGATATAAAATTTATGTAATTTTTATTTGGTATATCTGTTGTGTTTTCTGAACTGAAAAATGTTTTTCTTTTGAGGAATGTCTTTTTAGAGTAAATTAAGGCTTTACAGAAAGAAAAAACATTTTTTTCTCTTTGATTTTTTATTTATTTTAAAAATCGATTTATCGATTGTGTTGCGGTTAAAAAACGGCAGATTTCTATGACAATCAATTAAGTTGATTTATTGATTTAACGGTTTTGGGGGGTACCCTGCTAACTTGATGTCACGTCAAAAAAAAAAATTAAAATAGTACATTGTGCAAGTAGGGGGGAAAGTGGGTGATTTCTGAGAGTGAAGTTTGCTGTTCGATTTACTTTCCTCACGCTTGGCCGAGGAGTTCATAAATATTCAACTTCCCCAATACTTTTCTAACCAAGAAAGTTGCAATTTCAGAGCAGGCGTTGGGGGAAAAATATTTATAAAAATATTTAAATGATACAATTGTGAATTACTCAATTTTGTAATGTTGTACTGCTAACTTGATATACATCTAATATAGAGAGCCAATAATTGGCAACGATGTGGACATCCTAAGGTTTAGCTAATGATAATTTAGTCATATTGAGAGAATATTCCAGTGATATTGGTGGAACATTTCTGTGATATTAAGGGAATATTCCATGGAAATAATTTTTTAAATATTCTTATAGATTGAAAAACAAAATAATAATGATAGAAATAAAATAATGTATAAATATTTTTTCTCCATTATCATAATAATAAAGAAAAACAATTCCCGTGGAACATTCCCTCAGTATTAGAGAAATATTTCCTCAATATCACAGGAATAAGACCTCAATATCACCGCTGAATATCCCCAGGAGGCGGATATTTTGATTTATATTTTTGACAGTCTTGAGCCACTCTAGTAGCATCACATTTATAAAACAGCTGTTCGTTACATATTTGTTTCAGAATAGATATAGAACAAATCTAAAATACAGTGATAGAACTGATGTTATATTTTTGTAACACTGTCCTAGAACGCTGCAGTAACAAAGTTACTTAAAAATTCTAGAAATTCGGTAAATTGTAGTGATAGTGGTGCTAAATAAGTGTACAAATTTGAAATTTGAAATTTTTAATATTTTTCGAGATATTTTCAATAATTATTAGAAATAGTTCATATAGGGCTCGTTGGATGCGGATTTTGATAAGCATTCTAATGATGTTTTTCAAATTACTCTAATTTTATTTGTTCGTAAAATATTTCATTTTTTATTAACTTTTGTTAGTTAATTAATTAATATCTCGAAAACAAAAAATAATGTCATCTCAAAAATTTAACTATCAATTTATTATGACTTAAACAATATTCATGATTTTTTTCGCGCTTCTAAATGAAGGAGAACATGTTTAAAAGTTATAAACAAATTTTATTTTTTAAACAAATTGTTTAAAAATTAATATTTTTTAAAAAAAATAATTGTTTTCTAAAAGTTTAAGATCTTCTGCGTAAAAAACATTTACAACATTTTTCTCTATTTTTAGTAGGGAAAAAGTTATAAGTAAAGCAAAAAAATATTGCTCAAATTTGTTATTGTAAATATCTCGAAAAATATTAAAAATTTCAAATTTGTACACTTATTTAGCACCACTATCACTACAATTTACCGAATTTTGAGAAAAATCTGAGACATGGCCCCGTATTCTCATATGAAATGCTTCATTTACAAGAAACTTTACATTCCTGGAAACATCAATAGAAATCACATTAATTTTCTTACAATTAGCGTAGCCGACAACAGGCGTACGTTTACGCACAAGTTCGAAGTTTAATGTGTTTGACAAGAGTCATATACAATGTTCATTATTTTTTGACAGTTTTGTCAAACAAAATAAAATTTGTAATCATGTTACACATCCTCTGGTAACAAAATTATTTAAAATTAGCTTTTGGAACTGTCTTCAACGGGTTCCGATATCTAGTGGTGCGCCACGGACAGTATTTTGTATCTAGACAATATTCTTTAAAAAAACATTTTATAATTTGTCTTTATAACTTAGAATTTTAAATTTGAAGTCAATAAAAAATTCTAAACATAAATATACTGAAGACACTAATATTATTTTAATCTTTTGATGTTTATTTTCGTACCGACTTATAATTTGAAATTTTGTTCCAAAAGATATGAATATTTGTTTCATTTAGTAAGTCATATTTCATTTATTTTAGTGTATATATATATATATATATATATATATATACATCAAAGTCACATCAATAAACGTTTCGACAATTCACGATTGTCATTCTCAATATAATAATATTATTTTTAAGAAAATAGATTTTTTGATAGTATATATTATACCTATATATTTAATATTATATAATATACCAATAGGGTAAATCTTTCTAGAGTGTATCAACATTTTCACGTAAACTTTCAATTTTACTAGCAAATAATAGAGTAGAGTGGAGTGAAAAAGCCACGTTTTTACTTTTTACTCTATAAAATTGAAATTCAAAATTGTTTTTATAAATTTCCAATTGGCACTGAAAGTTTAGTTATTAAGCTTCAAAATCCTTGTAGGACATTTTTTTTATTACATGAAAGGACTAAGTTATAAGAGCTTTATGAAAGCACTGCAAGTGGCTTTTTTGCACCCCCTGGTGGGGAAAAAACACATTTTGCGATTTTTCCAAAATATTTTGTTATAAATTTTTTTCTTTTTTTCTTTAATGTACATGGCAAATAAATAATTATAAAACGTTTTTAGCATGCAAAATTCTATTTTATGTTAAGTTTACCTACTTTCGATTTACAGTCATCGAAATGAGCAACTTACAATAAAAACTAAGATATTATCGATACAACAACCAAACTAGAATAAAAAGTTGCGTGTCACTCAATTAAACGTATATTCTAAGTGGCTGGTAAAACAGTTCAATAGTTTTAATATAAAAGCCAAATGATTTTTTTTACCATGGCTTTTTCACCCTACTCTACCATATAGTAGAAACAAACCTTAGCTAAAAACTTTACCCCATACATTGCTAGGTTTTAGTCGTACTTTAATTTGTATGCGGGAACCCCTTAAAGCATCAGCAAAACTTTTATTTTACCTCACCTTTTTTATGGAAATTCTGATATTTATACAGTTATATTTTCAGTTAAAACATGATCTTAAATACTTAATTTATTATTTTAGTATTTGTACTTTGTGAACACTGAAACACATTGTTACACTGAAATATATTCTAAGGTTGACTCCTATAATAGAGACACAAAGCTTCTATATGTTGGCTAAATTTGTTGCACCTGTAGTACTTCTTTCCTCTTCGACTATGTTGCCAGTCCTTACATTTAATCTTCCTCTTCTTGACTTATGGTTTTATCCTGGATAACCAAAAATACGAACCGATACTAATTATTTAGTCTTTACTAAAGGTACTGACATTGTAATGATTAGACAAAGCACCTCTTCACATTTTCAAAGAGGAACAGAATCCTAAGAATTTTAAAATTTTCTAACGGTGTCTTAGAATTTTCCATAATATTTCATTCTCCCGCTATGGAGTCAAATTTACCCCTTAGAGTATAAATGACCTTTTCCCTTTAAATTTCCAAAACTTTCTTGAATCATATTTTTCTATTTTAGTTTTTGATTCTTTCCTCAGGTTTGATGTTCCTCTCTACTCTAATGTTACAACTTTATTATTACAGGGTGAAAATTTTCCAACTGGGTCACCTAAGACTGACTCTTTAAATTTTAAATATTTTTTTTCATAATCTATTGCAGGAAGCCGAATTAAAAACATTCCTGAAATGCGTTTTTATAGAAATTAATTTTTTAATTATTTATTAACAATTGAATATTTTGTTACCCTTCCACTAAATTTACAATTACTCCGTTGCTTGTTAATGAAATTTAATAAAATTTAGTGAGTATATAGAAAAATTATGTCTCTTTGAAATGCAATAGAAATTTCAATTAACCTTTATTGTTTATGCAAAAAAATTGTTTATTTAATAAACAAATGAATATTTAAACTATTTCTCATATGTTTAGGAAAAAATTTCAAAAACGACATAAATCTACACTTTCTCAACTTTAACTTAAAAAAAAAATCTTAGTACCTTTAAAAATTAGTATTAGTATAAATTATGTTAGTATAAATTAGTATCATTCGATAACAGAATAGGCTTCGACGCGTAGCAGCGCGCTGCGCGTGACAGTGGTGCCTGTTCCAGCGCTTGCACGTCGCTCTTCAAATTCGCGTAATTCACTCATTTTTTAGAGGTACTAAGATTTTTTTTTTAAGTTAAAGTTGAGAAAGTGTAGATTTATGTCGTTTTTGAAATTTTTTCCTAAACATATGAGAAATAGTTTAAATATTCATTTGTTTATTAAATAAACAATTTTTTTTGCATAAACAATAAAGGTTAATTGAAATTTCTATTGCATTTCAAATAGACATAATTTTCCTATATGCTCACCAAATTTTATTAAATTTCATTAACAAGCAACAGAGTAATTGAACCGACGGATCGTAGAATGGCATATAGGCCATGCTAAATACATTGCGTATATGCCCTTCTACGATCCGTTGGTTCAATTGCAAATTTAGTGGAAAGGTAACAAAATTTTCAATTGTTAATAAATAATTAAAAAATTAATTTTTCAAAAAACGCATTTAAGGAATGTTTTTAATTCGGCTTCCTGCAATAGATTATGAAAAAATATATTTAAAGTTTGAAAAGTAAGTCTTAGGTGGCCCAGTTGGGAAATTTTCACCCTACATACTTACTTTTATTTGTTTAATTATTTCCTTCTGTGGCCCTGTATATGTTAGATGTGCAATCTTATCTAAATCTTTTATTATTTCAATAACTCTATTACCCTGTTTCTCATAGGCATCTTTAAGCAGGGCGGTTAAGTTAGAGAGTGTTTGTTGGATAATTATCTCATTTACATTCATTTTTGCGTCTTCTGTTATTTGATTTACTGTATTATTCATTCGCTTGATAGTAGATAGAAACGTTGTACATAAATTATCAACTAATTTTAATATTTTTTCTATTTTCTCGTCTTGTTTCTCCAGTATGTCTAAAACTATAAAATTATTACGGTTATTGATGTGCGACACATGTTTTAAGAAATTAAGTTTACATGTTTGAAAAATTTCAGTATTTAAATTACATCTCACATTACTTTGAATGCAAAGTTATTAAAATTACCTTCTTTATGTATTTCAATTGTTAAAACGTCTTTGTCATTTATTTTTAATTCTCCTTCTATATCTACCTCTTTTTCCTTATTCACCTCTCCATCGTCATCTGTCTCTACATCCCCCTGTAAAATTGATTTTAATTACACTTGTAAGACTACAAATTCTAACCAATAAATAATATTAGACAGAACTCACAGGAAAAATGCAGTGTTATTTTAATCCAGAATTTGATGTTAAAAAAACACGCAAAAAACTCTATCCTACTCAGGTGCGAGTTGGCGGTCGGCCCCAAGTTGGGCCAACCATGTGCTCAGTCGGCCCACCTTGGGCAACCAGAGGACGGGCCAACTAGCGAATTGATAACGTCAACCGACCTAGGGTCGACTTGGTTGGCCCAACTATGGGTACCCAAGTCGGGCCAACTGTGGTTGCTCTAGTTGGGCCAACCGTTGGAGACGACGGTCGGCAGCCTCAGTTGGGCCAACTTGGGCTGCCCTAGTTTTGCCGACTGTTGGGGACGACGGTCGGCAGCTATTGTTGGGCCCACTATGGTAAAGATTGTCGGCTCACCTATGGCTGCCATAGGTTGGCCGACCTTGGCATTAAAATTTTTGCCGACCAATAAAAAATAAAATATAAAAATTTATTATACGAATAACATATAGGGTAAGTGTACTAATTACGGCGAGTGCACCAATTACGGCGCGTTCATAAAAAATAACTATTATTACTATTATATTTAATATAACTGTTGCCAAATGATTAAAAAAAATTATTTCAATCTTTTTTTGATACAAATACTTATAAAGATGCACATTTAAATAATTATTAATTTAATTATTTGAGATCAAATTTTTTTCCGCGCCGCAATTGAAACATTTTTAAGATTTCCATTGGCTTCAATTTCGGCGGGCAAAGTATCTTCAAAATACACGTAATTTTGGTCACCGAAACTGATACAAACTCGCCGCAATAGAAAATTACGGTATTAGTTTTAATTTCTCATATTTGTTTAAATAATCGATTTTTATAGAGTTAAATTTTTTTTAATATCTTAATAACATAAGCTTTAAGTTTAATAAGTCTTAAATTGAGTTTATACAATAGAAATGTCGAATTTTCTATTTCAAAGGTGTTTTGACTCGAATCTCGCCGCAATTAGTGCATTTACCCTATTAGTAATTATTCTAAATTCATCATACAATTATTTTAGGTATTTAAACACTAAACGCAATCTTGTACATACATTTTAAAAATATTTATCGCTCGCAAGGATAGAACCCGCAACCTAATGCACCGAAATCTAACACGCTATCCATTACCTTACGCTTACATGAGAGTCTAAGGAAAAATTAGTCTCATAAGTTGCATCTTCAAAGAAATTTAGCCGACCGTCGGCCCGACTTGGGCCGACCATTAAGAAGTGGATTTCTTAATATTTTGGCTGCCACAGTTTTATTAAGGAGGTTCATCCCTTCAAACGGTATACTCATTCTATTAGGGGTTTTCCGTAAGTTTAAAACCGACAGCTATAGTCCATAAAAGTTGAGCTCCACTGGCCAATTTAGAGGTTATGTTGCCGTTTCTCCTCTTCTTTCTATTATTTACATGGGATAAGTTCAAAAGTTGCTAATTTTGATTAACATTTACTTCACAACCAAACGGTAAAAAAATTTCATATTTTTGTAAAAACTGTTAAAACTCATAATTTAAAACATATTAGTTTTTTAAAAAAATCTGTAGAACCGTTTTTTTTAATTAATGAAAACATGGTCATTTTTCATGTTTTTTCACTGTTCCCATGTAAAACTTAAAACTTTATCAATTTTTATCTTGAAAATGATACGGTAAAATTCAATAAAATTTGAACAACACATGTAAAGTGATGTCAATAATACATCTTAAAAATTTTTTTAAAATCTGTAGAAAATCGATTTTGGGATGAACCTCCTTAAGGTATCACATCGGCACTAATCGGAGTCAAAAGTTTGTAGCTCGCATTACTACTTCCCGCACTATACTTTTGCCCTCAACTCCCTATACTCTCAGCCCATACTGTACCTACTTCTACAAATACACTCGTACACGTATACCCCACACTAGCAGCGATTGGAAGGAGTAGGAGGTTTGACAACGTCGCTATAAGTCTCGCTTTGACTACTGTGGACTACTGTCTCTCTCTAACTAATGTTACCATCCTGCGATGTTGCCACATCAAAGTGGCGGGTGTGCTATATATTGCAAATGACGTCATGAAATAGAATTTTTAATTTATAATTACAAATAAACGGCACGGTAAATTATAAATTTTTTTGTATATTTTAGTTCCAAATTTATTCGTGAATTCAACATTAGTTTTTGAAAAAAATTTATAGAAAACTTCTGATGATATTTATGAAAATGTACTTCTCCCCCATACATTAGTCCCGTCTCCCATGCAAAATAAGCAACTTTGATTGCTAATATATGTGGTTTCGTACGGCGAAAATTCTTCATATTTTGCAAATTTGTCAAGAATGATAATAAGAACATATGGTAAAATTTTCAAGAAAATCTATAGAAAACGGTTTTACCGATGTGATACCTTAATCACCATTTTGTTAAAAGTATATCCCAACTGTGATTGCTAAATCACAAGTCATGTCAACCGACGATCCCATAGTCGGCCCAACTAGGGCGACCAAGGTTGGCCCAACTGTGGCTGCCAACCGTCGTCTCCAACGGTTGGCCCAACTAGGGCAGCCCAAGTCATGCCGACCATTGTCTCTCATAGTTGGCCAAACTAGGGCTGCCGACCGTCGTGCCCGATGGTTGGCCCAATTATGGCAGCCACAGTTGGCCTGACTATGGGGGACTATGCCGACTGTATTTTTAGAAATTTTAAATAAGAATTAAAATTTTAATTATCATAAATTAATATAATAATAATTAATATTATAGTATTAACAAAATAATTCTTAAAAAAAATTACCTATTTCAAATTATTTAATAAATATTCTATTTTATAATAAAATAATAATGAACAATTTATTTCATTTCGAATCACTTTGGCGTTGGCAAAAATTATTATAAAAATAAAACTTATTTATATAATAAAATTAGTCAATTTGAAATATATTTTGCGTTTAAATTATCATGTTTTAATTATTTAATATTTTAATTATTTAAAGATCATTATATCCCACAGTCGGCCCAACTATGGGAACCATGGTTGGCCCAACTAGGGCTGCCGACGTTGGCAGCCATAGTCGGGCCACCTTTGGGTGATAATAGTTACCATGGTCGGACCAACTAGGGCGGCCGACTTTCGTGCAGCCCTAGTTGGGCCGACCAACCATCTCTGGCGGCCGCCCGAAATTCGCACCTAGGTAGTTGAGTGTTAAATCTTATGGGCTTTAGCATTGGACAAAATTACCCGCAACAAAAATAACACCGCAGATAATATATCGATACCTCAGTGTGTTACTCTACTATCTCACAGTGAAGGTTCAATGTCAATTAACTTGTATTTCTTAATGTTAATTATTTTAAGATTATTTTTGATGCTTCAAACAAATAAACTTTTTTATACACCTATGAAACTTTTTAAATTTTTTATACAGGTTATCCAAGAAAAAAAAAGATTTTCAATGGTTTTAAAGGAAAACAACCTAATTGAATTTCAATCTATTTTATTCAAATTCTTTTAATTTTTTAATTAATTAATTTCATGAAGCTTAACTGCTCCGAATCGTCACCTTCTGTCTCATTTCGGGGCTTTAATGATTCATAGAAGGAATGAAATAAATTACTTTGGTGTAACACTTGGTCTTCCACTTTTAGGTTAATTATTGCATTCAAAGTAAAGAGTATCTGGCGATTTGAAATTTGTTGACACTTCTTTTACTTTCTGCCATGCAACATTTTGTCTGTTACTGTCTCTCTTCCACAAATTGTCATCAACCAGAGGTTTAAAATCTATTATTACATTTTGTGTCATTCTTTCGACTTTGTACTTTTTACCTTCTTTTTTAGCATTTTCAATCACTTCGTACTACTGCTCAGATGTAAATTGCTCTTTTTCTTTACCAGCCCTTTCCATGCAAGCGTGAACGCTGTCGCCTTCATTTTGAGAGTGACCATGTTTCAAACACCTGTGCGTGATATTCACTTTATACTTCACAGTGGCATATAAGTACATAGCAAACAAATATTGATTTTTATTCTGTCCGCAACAGTTAAGTGATTAGAATTTAAAAGCCGTAACTTTGTTCTTATTACATTAGTCATCAATTTAGCGGAGTAACAGCTTGAAATTTCGTTAGAACCTCGCTTGGCAACACTTTCATTCCACACGTAACAATAAGCCTCTTGATCACCACCTTTGTAAACTGTAAAGTTACACACTTAAAACTTTCTTTTGTAATAAAAAATTCCAATTTAACATTTCGGGGTTGTAAGGACTTTCTGCAAATCGAAACAGGCAAATGAAATTGAGGAGTTTTCTTCTTTAGAAGCCTTTTTGTCAGATTCCTTCAATTCACTAATTATTTTCTTGTCTCGTAAATGATTATCGTAATTTTCTTTCAAATTTGCTTTTCAGTTGCATTGGCTGATTCATAAATGCTGTATCTATCGCACTGATTTTTTTTAGGAATAAAACAACCAAGATTAAATACATCCCGATAGCAACTCTCAGACGAAATTTCTTGACCATTTCTTTCTTCTTCCATCCAGACTGTATAAAGTCTTTGCATATGTCTAACACTTAGACCTTACTCCAAAAATTTTCTTTAGCTACTTTGCCTAGTATAGTGTGATGCAACAGTAGGAAACTAATTTATATGGTCTCTTATATTCTACTTCTTCTTTTATGTTTCACTGGAATTTTTCTTTGCAGTTTTATCTCTTTCGTCTGGAACAATCCCAGTGAGCACACTTGTTCAAAAGACGTCCTAAGGATGTCTTTTTGCGGATAAAAGACGTCTTAAAGACGTCCTAAGAATGTTCTATGTCTTGGCCGTTAGATTTCTTTAAGATGTCTTCTGTACAAATTTTGAAAATAGAAAAATTTTCATAAATATATAATGTTATTTTCTAAGTTAAACGTGGACTTAGAAACTGTTGAAGATTAAATATTGTGATTTAACATTGTTTGTCAAACTTTAACACGTTCTCTATTGATGATAAAAGAATAATTGAGACTCCACTGTCTTTGAGAATATACATTATTAGTTGTTCTTTGAATAGGTACATGATTTTTGACATTTTTACTAATGTATTTCCACTGATTCAAATGATTACCTATTTTCCAGTTAGCGGTGAAAATAGTTTTTCGATTTTCATTACTAATTGTTTGGTGACATCGCAATATACAATTTTCGTCACAACCAGTTCCCATTTTATGACTTGAAATTAATTTTCCTTTTTTATTCACGTACTCTTGTCCTGTATTACAAGCGACTTTGCACTGATTTGTTTTTCACTTTTTAAGATGTCGTTGTCTCTTACGACTTGAATTATTCTTGCTTTTTTCAGTAAGCACTGCTTCTTCTGTCTCGATAGGAACAAAAACTGTTTTAAATTAGAGAAATTTTGTTTATTAGAAAAACGCGTAAAAAATAATAATAAGATTGACAAATAAATACATAAAAAAATGAATTTTAGTATTACTCTAAATAAATAAATATTCTAGTTAATAACAAAAATTATCAAAATGAAAAAAATCTACCATTCTCTGCTGCATGGAACTACTAGACGGTTCGTTTTGTTGAGCATATGATTGAAACTGAAACGAAATTTTTGGATCCATATTCTCAGTAACTATTTCATAATTTTCATCAATTTGATTTTAAAAAGTATTTACTTCCGAATCCAGGCTCTGAAAAAATTTTAAAGGTGCAATAATAATGTTAGTGAACATAAAAATATTCAAAAACAAGGTAAATAAAATTAACTGAAAAAAATGTTTTAATTTCAAAATACATATATATATATATACATTAATAATAATAAAATTTATAAATAAATATTCAAAATAAATTACTTTTCTGGAAAAAAATAAGTAATTAATTTTCTGAATACATTTTTAGGTTAAAAATGGAAACAATTGTAGTGTAAAAAAATAAACATACCATATAGAAATTTTACAATTTTTTGAGATAGTGTGGCGTAAAGCGTTACTTTAAGATAGAACAGTACAAAGCAATACCCGAAGTTAGCACGGTATTAACGTTGACTGCATAGTACATTATCACACTCAGGTATCGATGTTCTAAAACTAACAGATTGAATTCAATTCTATGAACTACACATTTTCCCCACGCCCATCATTGGAATCACACATCATAAGTTAATTTCTGAATTAAGAAATCGGTTTTATTCCTCAATATCCCTTTCTTGTAGGTACTCAAGAAACGGTCCAATTAGAGAAATGTAACTCCCATCCCATGTAGCACCAAAAATTTAATAAAAATTTATTAAAGTTTTACTTTCAATGCTCACAATATTTAGGATAAAAGTTAAGTAAAGCTTCTGTAAATATTTAAATGTCTGCACTTGAGCAAATGTTTAGCGCGAAACTTGAGTGAAGACTCGTTGCTATACGAGCAACTACGAATGGAAAAAAATATTGCTCTTAAGCTACAAGTCATTTTATTGATTGCGGAAAACTGAGAATTAATTTAATAAAAATAATTGAAATGGGTGAGACTCCATCAGAAGATAAGCCGCCATGACCTGATGTGTGTCGTGATCGCTCCTCAGTTTTTCTTAGAAAAGTTCGGTATAGAACGACTTTTTGATAAAAATCGCTTAAGTATAGTTAACCAATGTGTCGTTATTATATAATTTTCATATAATCGCGAAGTTTGTGCTCCAAGTGAACAATTTTTCCATAAGTTTTGTGTTATAATATGCCACGTGTTCTCGTGTAGATTGGTTATATGTACAGTCTGTACATTTTGACTAACTCGAAGTTCCATGAGTAACTACTATTTTTTATAATATACTAAGAATTCGAAAATATGGCTTCAGTTACGGACGTTAATAAACTTGAATCTACAGTTTTTACTAAGGACGCTAATGTAAAGTGCACTTATTGTAATAATCGTGTTCTTAAAGCAACTCTGTGCTCTGGATGTAACATGCCTTATCATTCGGCTTGTGCGGGAAAAACCCAGCTGATTCCTGATGTAGGACTGAAAAAGTGCTGCGGTGCACCTTCTCCTACCCCTGACTTGCCTATGATGTTAACTATGGATTCATTGAGAGATGTCGTAAGAGAGGAATGTCAAAAGGTGCAAGATAATCTTTCATCGAAGTTTGATCGAGTTGAGACTGTTATCTCCAACCTAACATCGACATTAACAAAGCATAATGATCGCATAAAAAATTGTGAGTCTAGTGTAAATAGTATTCTCCATCGTGTTAAACAATTAGAAATAACTTCCTCTGCAACTGAACAGAATGTCAGTTCTCAGTCTGCCAACATGTCAATCTGTTTTTCTGAGTGGGATGATAGATTCATTAGAAAAAATAATTTATGTAGTTTTGTTTGGTGTAAGTGAGCATGAGTCCACTGATGGTGAGGGGTATAAAGATAAAGATAGAAATGCCGTTATCGCTTTTCTCAATTCTATCTGCCCTAGTTTAACTTCACCTGAAAATCTCAAGATGTTTCGAATTGGTTTTTATTCGCAGATTGCCACGAAGCCAAGGCCCCTGAAAATAATTTTCTCAAACCCTCAACATCCCAAGGTGTTCAGAGACAAATTTCTCCTGCTAAAATCCAAAGATCAAATACCTGCGGAAATGGCAATGATTGTCGTCGCTCCCGACCGAACGAAAATACAGCAGAAAGAATACCAGCGAGTGAGGAGAGAGCTGATGGAGAGGGAATCAAAGGGGGAACAAAATTTGTCGATTCAGTATCGTCATGGGGAACCTCACATTATAAAATCTCACGCACGCTTGTCAACTGCTCTTCACAGTCAACAGAGCTCAACCTCATCCATGCCAACCTGAATGTGTATTATCAAAATATGCGTGGTTTAAATACCAAATTAGCCACTATAAAATGTTTTCCAGATATATCAGATTATAATATTTTTTGTATTACCGAAACTTGGCTTCAACCATCGACCAATTCTAATGAAATCTTTTGTTCTTCTCTTTTTAATGTTTTTCGCCATGATCGAGTACATAAACGAGGCGGAGGGGTTATGGCAGCAGTGAGTAATAAGTATTCTGTTAAGTCAATTGATTTATTTTCGGTGAATTGTATTAATCAAAGTATTAATTCTATTGGTTTGATTATTTCGAAAAATACATTTTGTTTTATTTTAGTTCTGATATATTTACCACCGGATTTAAATGTCAATGAATTTTCTTTATCTCTGACAGCACTTAAAGAACTTCCTAGTTTATCCAATTATCCCTTGTTCATAGTTGGTGATTTTAATACCCCAACGTTTACTCAATGCGAAAAAGTAGGAAAATATGATTCTAAATCGACAGATATTTTAAATATAGCCCAAACGTTTAATTTGTGTCAAGTAAACCCTATTACTAATGATATGCAGAAAATCCTTGACCTTGTGCTTACAAATGTAACATGTATTATTGCTCGACCATTTCTTCCTCTCGTAATGGAAGATTCGTATCATCCGGCAATTTATATTAAAGCGAAGCTAGTGTCGAACCATAGATATGAACCGTCGAATTTTTCCTGCAATGCCATGATCCCAGAATTATCCTTCACCTTTCGGAAAGCTAGGCTTGACCTTTTGTATATCTACTTGTCTGAAATAGATTGGTCACCTCTTCAAGAATTTGATGATGTTGACAATGCGTGTAACTTTTTTGTTGTAACTTTAAATAATGCGTTTGAACAATTTGTACCTCGAAAAAACTACTCGTCTCAATCACACCGTTATCCACCGTGGTTTACAAACATTATTATAAATAATATTCGCGCTAAAAAAACTTATTAAAAAAACGTTAAAATGCATCTGAGTACTATGATTCACAAATTAAATTGTTATCAACTGTAATTCATATGGATATAAAAAAAGAATATCGTCACTACATTTTAAAGATTGAAAATGATATTAATATTAATCCTAGAGCTTTCTGGTCGTATGTGAATGACACAAAAAGAAAACCGAAAATTCCTGACAATATGATTTACAATGCAAGATCTTTAAATTTCCCTCAGGATATTGTTGATGCTTTCTCTGATATGTTTGCAAAGGTCAATTGTGGTAATAGATCGGATGTTTTAACAACTAATGTTAGTTCTATGAAAAGAGATAAGTACTGTTCTATTTTTCAATTTTCACCCAATCAAATCCATAAAGCTTTGAAATTGTTAAAACCATCTTTAACATCTGGATTGGATGGCGTTCCAAGCTTTCTAGTTAAAGATTGTTCCTCAGTTCTTAAAATACCCTTGACATTAATTTTTAATTTGGCTGTAAAAAATGATAAGTTTCCAAGTATTTGGAAATCAGCTTAAATCCGACCAACTTTTAAATCTGGAGATGAAAATGATTGTAGTAATTACCGATCTATAGCAATAATTACGAATTTCGCAAAGGCCTTTGAATTTTCAATTGCTCCATATCTTAATAGAGCAATTAAAACAATAGTGTGCGATAATCAGCATGGTTGTGTACCCAAGAGATCGATTGTAACCAATCTAGCTTGCTTTACTCAATTCCTTAAAGAATCTATGCTTTTGGGTATACAGGTAGATGTTGTTTATTTAGATTTTGCAAAGGCCTTTGATTCGATTGATCACGTAATCCTGGCGGAAAAGCTTAAATCTTTGAATATTGATGCTGATTTGGAAAATTTAATTTTAAATTATTTACATAGTCGATCTCATCGTGTTGTCATTGGCAACTACATTTCTAATCCTATTACACCCAAAAGAGGCGTACCTCAAGGATCATCTTTAGGTTCGCCATTATTTACAGTATATATAAATGAAATCGTTGATTGTATTAGCTCTTTTTCTTTACTTTTTGCAGATGATTTAAAAATCTTTCGACGAATCTTTTCTAAGTTTGATTCTGAGCGACTACAAGGTGACCTTGATAATATCAATCGTTGGTGTTTGGATAATAAAGTTATGTTAAACCACTATAAATGTCAAATTATGTCATTTTCCAAATCTGAAGCACCGTTACATTTTCCTTATAAGATCTGTGACCATAAATTGTCAAGGGTTTTATCTACTCGAGATTTAGGTGTGACTTTCACATACGACTTAAGTTTTAATGATCACATAACTCAGATGATATCCAGTGCATCGAAATCACTAGGATACCTCATAAAGAAATCAAAAAATTTTTCTAACTAGAAAACTTCCACGTTTTTGTTTAATACATTTGTAAGATCCCGTGCTAAATTTGCTGCATTAATTTGGAATCCTTACTATAATAAATATTCTCAAGAGGTTGATTATTTACAGAAGCGATTTCTTAAATTTTTATCTTATAAGGAAGATGGTGTATATCCTAATAGAGGTATAGATTACCTTGAACTATGTCAACTTTTTAATATTCTTACTTTGGAGGAGCGAAAAATTATATCAGCGATGATGTTTTTGTTTAAAATAATAAATAATCTATATGATTCGCCATATTTATTGAGCCAAATACATTTTAAGGTACCTAGATAGTCAGCCAGGCATTACATGCCATTTTATTTGAAAGATCTTCCATCACCGACGATATTTAATGCGCCACTTTATTTTGCTTGTTACCATATAAACCTAATGTATGCAAAGATCGAACCTGATTTGGATCTTTTTAATTCAGTCCAATCAAGGTTCCTTGAGTGCCTCAATAACTATGTTGTATATTT